ATCCGAAGAAGTGGGCTGTAGTCCACGAAAGCTTATGCTCTAATAAATTTGTTAGTCTCTAAGGTGCCACAAGTCCTCCTGTTCTTCTTTTTGCGGATACAGACTAACACGGCTGCTACTCTGTAGTCTAATCACAGGGTCCCCGGGCCCCCCTTTGTCTTTCCAACGCCATTACCCTGAGGCTCCCTAGCAGTGGCTATTCCCCTGGGACTCCCACTAATCGGTTGATAATGTGGTGGGCCCAAGGACAACAGCCTCGGCCTTTGTTAGCTAATGGGCACCCCAGCTTCCAGCCCCACCCAGGGCACTTCACGGGCTGCCCCCGGCCCCGCTGAGGTGCGAGGCTGACCTCTTTGATCTCGGCTTGGGTTGCTGCTTTGAAGGAGCCGCTCCACCCCCGACCCCCGCCGGCCGGCCTTCCAGCCGCAGCCAGGACTGGAGGGAGTGGAGGGTGAAACCGCCTCCTCCTCGGAGCAGCAGAGCGCTACACCAGCCCGATCGGGAGCTGGGGAAACCTTCCCTCGGCCATTACCGCGAGCAGCCCCAGGCCCGTCCCTTGCAAAGAGACCTGCAAAGGGCCCGGGGCCAGTGGGACCAGCTCGGCGGTGCCCGGTTTCCCATGCAGTCAGGCTGCAGCTGGGAGCAGCGATTTTCCCACCCGCTGCCCACCACCAGTGGCGTGTAATCCCTGGGGCAAAACCCCTGGGCCCCCTCCGGTCAGCGCTGCTCTCAGAGCTGCAATGATGCAGATAAAGGGGCATGTTCAGGCCAAACGCGAAGGCGTTCGTCTTCCTTTGTGTCTCTCCCCGGCAAGTCCCTGGGCTTTGTGCATGCGAACGGCGTACGATCAAAGCAGGGTGGGCAGCGGCTGGAAAAATCGCTGCTCCCCTCTGCAGCCTGACTACATGGAGCTGCAGGGATAAGGTCGCTCATAAATCGCTGCGGCTTCTGACCTGGAATCATTCTCCAGCCCCACCTAGTTCAGAGGACTAATCCCATAGGAAATAAATATGGTGAAAAGATTTGAATGTCACTAAAGGGGACAAGGTGCCCTTGAACTGACCTCCCCTTCACCAGTCACTTTTCTGATCTCTCCTGAACAGAAAGAGAGCTAGTTTTCCCTAGGGCATTAGAGAGACCAAATGCTGACAGAAATACCAGGAAACTCTAGAAAAAAACCAAATGGCAATGTCAAGATGACAATTAAAATCCCTCCCTGTACCTCACTTCTTCAAATGCATCTGAAAGAAGTGAGGTTTTTTACCCACAAAAGCTTATGCCTAAATAAATCTCTTAGTCTTTAAGGTGCCACCTGACTCCTTGTTGTTTTTGTGGATACAGACGGCTACCTACTGATACTTCATTGTTCCTGTACCTGATCTATATCAAAAATGTCATCAGCTCTAATGGCCTCTCTATAAGGTTGTTGGTCTTGCTTCCAGTGGTTAAGGGGAACCTGTGGGAAAATGTCCTCCAGGGATACTGTAAATATAACAACCAACACAGGCGTGTGTTTGGGCCTACTTATTTACCAGGATTCAAACCAGGGGTTGGCAACGTGTCCGTACATGGACACAAGTGTGCAGGGTAAAAAATTTGAGGTCCGTGGGGGCACTCACCTCAGGCAGCTCCCCGTCTCTGCTGTTGCAGGCGGAGGCGTGGCCAGGAGACGCTGTAGGCACCCTCCCCGAGCACTGACTCCACGGCTCCCAGCCTGCACCTCAAACCCCTCATCCCCAGCTCCACCTCAGATCCTGCATCCTCAACTGGAGCCCTCACACCCCCAACCTCCTGCTCCAGCCCGGAATCCCCTCCCGCACTCTGAACCCCTCATTTCTGGCCCCACCCTGGAACCCACACCCCCAGCCCACAGCCCATACCCCTTCCCACACGCCAACCCCCTGCCTGAGCCCAGAGCTCCCTCTTGCCCCCCCGCCAGATGGTGATATCAGATGTATCTACAAAGAGAAACTTACACACAAAAATCCCACCCAGTCTATTACCAATTCAGAGGACATGGACTAGGAATGTGAATGAAAGACCACACATTTCACTTTCATCCTCTGACATCTTTTATAAAGGATAACAAAAAGAGTCTTCCTTCAGCTAATATGTTAAATCAAGGTGGTGGTTGGTTGCTTTGTTTTACCAGTACTTGCTGAAGGATCAAAGTTTCCATGACAAATTCTTCTAAAATTACATTTAGCAAAGTACCTTAAGATAGATCCACCTGATGGCTTGAATAAGATTAAAGATATTCTTTAGTTACTCACCCAATTGCCTTTAAAAAAAAAGAATATTACACAGAAATATAGCTGTGCAGTTAGTAACACATTTGTAACCCCTGAAAGTAACTTTCCACTTTCAGTATTAATTTTTATTTTTCTTGAGTTTAGAACTAGCATTTGAGCAACAGGAAGTCAACCATAGAGCATGCAGCCAGATCTGGCACTCCTTAGGTCATTTATCACTCCCTCTGCCCATGCTGGCCTATACCAGCCAGTGCTGTTTTAAATTGCATTGGTCCGATAGATTAAAACATTTTATTGACTCTTCTTTCCCCAATGATAAATCTTATCCTTGAGCTGCCCCTAAATCATAGGCTAGCATATAGCCATATGAAATGAAAATACATTTTTATATTCCTGTTATCTTTCTCGTCCATTTTTCTCATCTTTCTTGCTTTAATTTGTCTTCACTCCATTTTTTCTTCTGGTTCCCCACCTCCCACCATTCTTTTCTCTTTCTTACCATATTCTGTTTCTATTTCCTCTTCCAATTATCTCCTCCCACTCATTCACTCTCAATCTTCCTGGGTGCATTCTGCTCTCAATGTCAAATTCAGAGGCAACATAAATGATGTAAATAAGCATAAATGGTGTAACTGATGTGTTTATGAGGTAGAAGATTGAGGTTGAAGCAGGGATGCTTTATCTTAGAGGTGACCTGCAATGAATGTTTAAAACACTGGATTTCTGTCTTTTTTGCTTCGTTGGCAAATTTATTATTTTTGTGTGTGTTACAGTAGTAACCGAAGTCCTAATTGAACTGAGCATTATACAAACATATACTAAGGCCTGGGCGATGCTCAAAGTTGTACTGGCTTAATTAAAGTTATACCAATTTAGTTAGAGAGGTCCCACTTTGCGTGGTCATTCTTACATCGGTTTGTCTCAGCAGGCACCTGTGAATTTTACTAAGTTGATACAACTAGTTTTAAACTGATAAGAGTCCACACACAAAAATAAATTAAGCTGATTCAAGTTATCCATACACAGTCCCTGTCTCAAGGCAACCCGAACAAAGTTATTGTTGTTCGTTTGGTTTAATTTCTTCCTCCTTGTTATTTTTTTTTAACCCTTTGATATGAGCAATGTCAAAACTACACATATCTGGAATTGCTGGGGAAAAAAAAAACTCTTGAGTAGCCTCAAGGGCATTTCTGGCTACCACCCACACCTGAAATGAATGGGCAGAAGTGTTGGAACTTTATGACATATCTTTTCATCCAAGTGTTCTTTAGGCATTTGAATTAAATAGGCATTAACCCCCCCTCCGAGCCCCTCAAAAGTTATATACAGGCTGAGCAAACCCCACTGTGCTCAGGTTTTCGTCTTTTGCAATGCCATACATTTAACTACTTCTACACTGAGTATAGCGTGTCAAGGTCTTCAAGACCCGAGACTCTAGTGCATGCATTTTAAAGCATCTCTGCCCTCTTTCTCTTTTTCTGGGGAAGGGTAACCAGACAGCAAATGTGAAAAATCGGGACAGGGGATGGGGGGTGGGGTAATAGGAGCCTATAGAAGAAAAAGACCAAAAAATTGGGACTGTCCCTATAAAATCAGGACATCTGGTCACCCTATGAATCGGGGGGGGGGGGGGAGAATAGAAAACCTTTCAGCCACTGCTCTTCCCCTCTTTTTGATATTGTATAAAGGAATACAAGCCTGATTTTATTTTACTTTGTGGGTCACCTTCAACCTTATTACACACTCCTGTTTGTTGCTACAACCCTGCTCAACTGCCTTGTCTGCACTAGGGACGTTTTTCAGAAGTTTCTCACTATTGTTGACCCTCCTGGTCACTCTACACTCATCCCCCAGTAGTGATAGAAAACCTGAAGCTCTGGCAATCTCCTCTTGCAGCCCCATAGCCCCGCCTTCTGAGGAAAGTCTGGTATGCATGGGGCTTTCAGACCCATCAAATCTCTAGGTCTGAAGAGAATCTCCCTCCTAAAGTGAGATTAGATTATAGGGGCTGAAGAGAAGAGTCACCCTGGGTTCAGGAGAAGGAAAGGTATGAATACCTGCAGTTCAGTGATGGTTGAAGAGGAACCACACATGGAGCTCGTAGGCTTCTGTAGTGAAGAGAAAAAAAATACTTAATGAGGGAAGAAGGGATGTCTGGGAGCAGGGAATAGTGAGGGAGACCAATAATTATGTAAACTGAATTCAGTTAGAGAGAGCAACAAAACCATGCAACAACAATCACCAAACAACTGCAGCCAGTGTAGGACAAGGGAAAAAAAATTGAGATCTAAAAAAGGGAAAGGAAAAAGGAGTGAAGAAAAGAAACAGAAAAGAAAAGAAAGAACAAACCTAGACTATATATTTTTTTTTCTTTCAAGTCAGATGCACAAAAAGCACCTACCAACAATGTTTGCTTTGCATTACAGTATGTGTTAGGGAATTGCTAATAATAGGTGTAAATTTACTGCT